CTGGGGGGAGAGAGGGGGGAGAGGGAGGGTTAATGAGTACGTAATGTTGGGGGTTGCGAGAGGGAGGGAGAGAAAGGGGAGAGAGAGAGAAGGAGGACAGGGAGGGAGGGAGGATGGAGAGGAGGGAAAGAGGGAGGGAGAGAAAGGAGAAGGAAGGGAGGAGAGGAAGGAGGGAGGGAGGGAGGGAGGAGGAGAGGGAGGGAGGAGGAGGAGGAGGGAGAGAGGAGAGGAGAGAGAGAGAGAGAGAGAGAGAGAGAGAAGAGAGAGAGAGAGAGAGAGAAGAGAGAGAGAGAGAAAGAGAAGAGAGAGAGGTAGGAGAGTAGAGAGAGAGAGAGAGAGAGAGAGAGAGAGAGAGAGAGAGAGAGAGAGAGAGAGAGAGAGAGAGAGAGAGAGAAGAGAGAGAGAGAGAGAAGAGAGAAGAGAAAGAAGAGAGAGAGAGAAGAGATGGGTGGGAGAGAAGGAGAGAAAGAGAGATTAGAAAGAGAAGAGAGAAGAGAGAGAGAGAAGAGAGAGAGAGAGAGAGAGAGAGAGAGAGAGAGAGAGAGAGAGAGAGAGAGAGAGAGACAGACTGACAGACAGATGAAGAGAGGAAATCAATGAGTTCCACGATAATCTGACACTTGAGAACCTCTTCAATTCCTCTGAAGAAGATTAATGATGTTTGCTAATCATCTGCTAATTGGGAGCCGGAAAACGTACTGTCATAAAACAGATGAATAAAAGTGAGATAAAAAGGATTAACTATCTAAACTGTAGACCTTCCCCCCCCACCCCCAAAAAAAAAAGAAGTATAAAAATAAATTAAACAAGAACTAAACGCTGTTGTGTTTTGCGTCTCTCTCTCTCTCCTCCCCTCTCCCTTTCTTTCTCACTCTCTTTTTCTCTTTCACCCTCCCTACTTCTCTCTCTCTCTCTCTCTCTTTCCGTCCTCCCCCACCCTCTTCCTCTCTTTAATTTTTTAAAATTAATTCTCTTTTTATTTTTTATTTATTTATATTTTTTTTTTCGGCCAATGTTTTGTAAGTCATAAGTTCCGAATTGCTGGCGGACTGTTAGGTACAAAATGCACGGGTAGGAATGGGAATCTATTGTTTAAAGGTATATGTATGTTTGGAAAAATATACGTACACATACATACACATGCGCCCACTGACACATACGTATGCACGCATCTATCTATCTACGTGGTTATTTACCAACCTATTTATCCATTAATGTATCTATATTTCTATCTCCCTACCTAGCTATATATCTCTTTATCTTCCTATCCATCTATCTACCTATCTATCTATGTACTTGTCTCTGTTTCTCTCTCTTTCTTTCTAATAAACTTATCTACCCACCTACCCATCTATCTATCCATACCCTTAACCAAAGCATCCAAATTGGCGTCTATCTATCTGTCTATCCCTAAACCTTGACAACCAAAGCATCGCTAAAATCAGTAATCTATCTTTTCATCTATCCATAAATCTTGAAATCGCAAAAATCAGTCATCTATCTATCAATCCATCTATCCATAAACCTTAAAAACCAAGGCATTCAAATTGCCTTCTTGCTAAAATCAATCTATCTATCTATTTATCTATCCATAAACCTTGACAACGAAAGCATCCCAATGGCCGTCTCGCTAAAATCAGCCATCTCTCTATCTATCAATCTACCTATCTATCCTTATATAAACCCTGACAACCTAGCCATCCCATTTGCCGTCTCGCTAAAATCACTCATCCATCTATCCATCCATCCATCCACCAATCCATAACCCCCCATAACCCTTAACAACCAAGGCATCGCTAAATCACTCATCCATCTATCCATCCATCCACCAAATCCATAACCCTTAACAACCAAGGCATCGCTAAAATCAGTCATCCATCTATCCATCCATCCACCAATCCATAACCCCTGACAACCGAGGCATGCGATTCGGCGTCTCGCTCAGACGAGTCCCTGGCGCCTCAAGTAACGAAATCAAAAGAAGTTGATTAAGGCCCTAACTACCTGTAACATAGTTATCTCTTCTAACAATCGGATCATTGGGAGGCAATTAGAGCGATACAGCTTGATTAGGTCGTAGCGTGATATCGCATGAAAGGAAGAAAGAAAGAAAAAAGAGAAAAAAGAAAGAGAAAGAAAAAAAGAGAAAAAAAAAAAGGAAGAAAGAAAAAGAAAGAAAAAAGAAAAAAGAAAAAGGAAGAAAGAAAAGGAAAGAAAAAAAAAAAGAAAAAAGAAAGAAAAAAGAAAAGGAAAGAAAGAAAAAGAAAAAAGGAAGAAAGAAGAAGGAGAAAAAAAGAAAGGAATCAAGAAAGAAAAAGAAAGAAAGGAATAAAGAAGAGGAAAGACAGAAAAAGAAAGAAAGGAAGAAAAAAAAAGAAAGAAAAAGGAAAAAGGAAGAAAAAAAAAAAAAAAAAGAAAGAAAGGAGAGAAAAAGAAAAAAAAAGGAAAGAAATAATAAATAGTGAATGAAGTTGTATGCTGGAATGTGGAATATATATTC